GCGAGAAATTGTATAGTCTGCGTCATTGCATTAGAGTCTAGAACTTGCCCGATATGTGAGTTGAAGCGAAATTTTAGGTTTTGCTCGATTTGAAAAATAATTTTAGGCTTTATTTGATTCTTTTGAACTTAATGCTTACCATGAATAAAAATTATCCCTAGTCAACCCTTTTGAACCTATAGACTTTTATTTGGCAACCACATTACAATCCTATACCCCTTTGTTCTAAATTTTTATTATTTTGATCCTTTTACCTCTTAAAGCACTTTAATTGTGAAATGAGCGCTAGAAGAAGTAAGGACTAAGTGTAGGGTGACTTTCGAGTGGAACCAATGAAAGAAAGAAGGGTGCACTTATTTTTTAAAGTAATACACCACTAGCGGAAACTGAAAAGGGAAAAACAAGAGTAGAAAAAAAAAGAGTAGAAAAGAAGGAAAAAATATAGATGAATAAATTATTGTCTTGTTCTTGCTAGTGGGATATAAAGTAAAGTAGTACTTAAAGAATGAGGGAATATTTTTGGGGTGTGATCTTGTTTGTAAAATTGAAGTGGATTGAGGAATTTGCGCTTAAAGTTATTACGTGATGTGTTAAAGTGCTTGGGAGGATGAACCACTAATTCAAAATATATCTTAACCTTCCCTTAGCCCACGTTACAACCATGAAAAAGTCCTAACTGATTTTAGATTGAGCAAGCCTACATTAGTGGATGTTTACATAATGAGCAAGCCTATGGTACTTTGTGCATGCATGTGACTTCTTTATGAGAGTGAGGAGTTTATTTGATTTATTTGAGTCTTTAAAATATATTTGAGCATTTGATTCGAATGTATGGATTCAACTTACTCATTTGTTCTTGTTGTGAGGACACATGATTTCGCGAGGGATAGGTGACGTTATTAGACTTCTCTCAATGATGTTGGGTGTTCAAGCCATGAGTGCATTGTGACATTGAGTCGATTTTTGAGGTTAGGATTGTTAGGAGCATGTTTTTTTTATTGTGAATATTTGTGAAGTATGGCATAAGAAAAGGGAAGTGTATGTGATTGCATATGCTAAAGTTTAATTGTTGCTATAAACCATGGTCATTGGTGTAGTGTGCTTCAAAAGTGTTAAATATGTTAAGTGCTCAAAGATGGTGTGAGTTTTTGGTTGACTCGAGGACGAGCAACGTTTAAGTGTGGGGTAGTAATGTTTGGCTATAATTATATATTTTTAGTGCATTACTTACCTTACATTTAGGTGCTTTAATGCTAAACTATACTATATGTGTGCTTAATTGAGTTTATTTTATGTGTAGGTACATTAAAAATGAAATTAGAGCAAAATAAATATTTAAAGTGTATTTCATGTACTAAAACAATGGGCTTATAATTATCTAATGATAAAGTAATTATGGAAGACAAATCAAAAGGAGACAAAAGTCAAGTGGAAAAGAGAAAAAAACAAAAACGTAAAAGAAGGGAAAAGTAGGCAGCAAAATTTGAATCGAAGAAGCAGCAGGCGAGGCAAGAAAATTTCCTGGCGTTCTGCCTCGCAACACGAGGGTGCAGTGAGGTTCACCGCGCGTTTGGCCTCGCGAAGCGCGGTCTGTCGCGAGGGTGTTCCGAGTTTCAGGCCTATTTTATCTCCTATTTGATTTTGGACTTGATTATTTCGTCTAGTTTTTTTCCTACATATATAAATAGTAATTAAACACCATTTTGAGGAGATTTGACATAAGGAGGCAAGAACACACTAGGAGCAAGGCGGAGAATTCTTCTACGATTTTTTCACTTCCTCCTTCCTATTTCCATTATTGATTATGAATTCTAGTATTGTAGCTTTGCATACTATTATGAATAGCTAATTTGTTATCTAGAGATAGAACCTTTTGTAGGATAAATTCTTGTTATGTTTCTATATAATTGAGTAGTTGGATTGCTCTACTTGTTCAACTACGTGTTTATTATTGTTGATTGAATGGCCATCAATTGACTGTGCCTATTTATTATGTATTTCTTGGAAAAGGATACATATTTAGCTAGTTGTTGAACAACATCACTTATGACGTATGTGAGGAATCAATACGAAAAGTTTAAAGGTGGGATTAGGAATAACGAAACCTTGGTGCGATCTTAGTGAGTAGTAAACTAGTGCCAGCTAGCGCAGTTCGGAAGAATATATCTAGTAAATTGTGGTAGTTGCTCGGAAGAGAATTATGACACCTGAAGTACTCACGATCGGTAGAAAATACTTAGGCGGAATTATAGAAGGCATAGCGGGAAGGATTCCGACAATTGGGGAAATCATAACTCTAGACCTCCTTAGTCTTGTCTCAAATTTCATCCTTGTTAGTTGATAATTTTACTGCTTTATAATAATTGTTAGTTAATTAGTTAGAAATAAATATTATAATTTCTATAATTAGGAAATTGTTTGGACTTGTGTTTCTTAGCAATATTGAATAACTATAGCTAAGCCTTAATTCTCTGTGGGATTCGATTCCGGACTTGTAAACCGGATTATATTTGCAACGACCGCTTAATCCTTTTTATAAGGCATAGTTTGGGATGATCAGCTCTTTATTAGTTATCCCTCCCTCCACAAATTAAATGCACTTAACATTCATGTAATAGCACTTATATGAGCAAGTTGATAATACTTCCACCTTAACTTTCAACTAAAACTCTCTGTACAGATTCTCCTCACCAACACTTTGGTACAAGTTGTTCATACAACCAACAGCAAAGGCCTCTGCTTTAATTATTGTTCCCACTGGTAAAGTGAGAAGTATGTACGTAAAATCTACTTTTGATTCAGCTGCAACGTAACTACTTTATTTTTCTTTTGATCCACCCAAAGCTTCAATACAACCGTTGAGTATTGAGATTTTGATGATAAACAAAGTTTGTTTAGATGTAATATTTAAAGAACCAGGTTCTCAACGTAGCTGCTTAACTGTTCTAAGAACCAGCTTCTCAGGGTAAAGGACCAGCCCCTCAGGTTGATGATTGAACGTATGTGCAAGACAGTAACTTTATCTCAAAGTTACCCAGGTTTGAATTTGGTGGAAGAAGGCAACTACATGTTATAAGGGTTGTTGCCCAAGAAGATACGAATAAATCAGTAAAAAATAAGAGTCCCAAAACTTATGTAGTCCTTGAAACAGTAGGAGTCCTATCAAACGAGAAGCTGACTATGCATAGGACTCCTAGAAGATCTTGAAGTCCGGGCATTTAAATACTATTTATTTTGGACTTTTGAGATCTTCCTTTCATACATCAACCGAACAACTACATTTTGTACACTCTAGTCAAGTACCAGTATTGTATTCTTCTTGAGCCAGTCTAGTGAATGTGTTTTAGAAAGTTGAGTTGTTATCAAAGTGTCACAAATAATTAGTGAGTTGGAGTGAGTGTTTGCTTTAGAAGTTAGAGTAACTTGTAAATCAAATAGTCTAGTAGGAATACTAGAGAGTATTGAATTACAGTCTTATAATTGATACATTTTGGCTCATTGTTCTAGTGGAGTTGAAGTTGAAAATTCTACACAGTAGGTCGTGGTTTTTGCACCTTTTAAGCCGGGTGATTTTTCACGTAAAAATCATTGTATTTACTTTATTACTTATTTTACTTCACATTTAAGGAACACGGTAAAGAACCAAGTTATTTAATAATTCATACGGGCGCTCAAACTAAAAATTAATATCGGAGCAGGTTCTCTCTCATACACAACTAATACCTAGAGAGATTTTGAAAGCAATATGAGTGCTCCACCTGGAATTGATGAAGGACAATCAATCACCAGACCACCCCTGTTTAATGAAAAATATTATAGTTGGTGGAAAGCAAGAATGGAAGACTTTTTGACAGTTGAAGACTATGAACTATGGACCATAGCTACTAAACAAAATGTACAAAGTGAAACAGTTCCTAAGGACCCCTTTGAATTTGTGGCCGCAGATTTCAGAATGATAGAGAAGAATGCAAAGGCTAAGAAAATTCTTACATGTGGACTTAGTCCTGATGAGTACAATAGAATTTCTGCGCGCTCTAATGCAAATGAGACATGTGATGCACTCCAAACTGCTCATGAAGGAACAAACCAAGTGAAGAGATCAATGATATAACTACTTATGAGAAACTATGAGCTCTCTTCTCCATGAAGGAGTATGAGCCAATCCAGGAGATGATGACTAGGTTTACCATAATAACTAATAAACTGAAATCACTTGGAAAGGTGTTTACCTTAGAAGAGTTGGTCATCAAAGTTCTAAGGATCCTTCCAGCTTCACGGGAATCAAAATTCACAGCAATCGAGGAAGCCAAGGAGCTGGACAAAATCTCACTTGATGAGTTGGTTGGAAACTTAAAGACTCATGAAATGAGAAAGATATAATTGCGCAAGGAAGAACCAAAGAGGGATAAGGCCTTGGTCCTTAAAGCGTTCGAGGAAGATGAATCTGACAGTAATGATCCTGACCTAGCAATGTTTCCTAAGTTCAAGAGGTTCATGAAGAACTCCAAAAATACATCTAAGAGAGAGACCAATGGTAAGCCTAAACAGATTGAAAAAGCTAATTATGATGGGTGCTACAAGTGTAGCAAGCTAGATCACATGGTCAAGGACTGTCCAATGTGGGAAATTGAGTGGAGGAAAGAGCGAGCTGAAAAGGAAAAATGGGAGAAGATGAGAGAAAAAGGTTCCAACAAAAGAAAAATCCTAGGTAAAGGATTTACTGAAGCAATAAAGCAGGACTTCCTGACAGCATATGAGGACAATGGAAGTGATAAATAGGAACAAAAGAGGATGAGGCTATAAGTCTATATGATGTAATTGATGAACATCAGGCAGTGGAGACAGAGCCTCCAGTACAGCTTGGAATGCACATTGGAAGACCTCCTCTATTTAATGGACATCACTATGATGAATGGAAGCTACGAATGGAAATGTTCCTTTAGGCCACTGACTTTGACCTATGTGTAATTGTCAGTGATGGACCAACTCTCCCGATCAAAATGGATGGTGAAGGTAACAAGTGCAATAAGAGAGAAGAGGAATATGATGATGAAGATCGTCGGCTAGTCCAGAAAAATGCTAAAGCAAAGGACCTGCTTTACAGAGGCTTGCCCAGAAATATTATCTACAAAGTGTCCTCTTGTATATCTGCCCATGATATATGGAGGACCTTAGAAGCTGACTTTGGAGATAAAAATATCGAAGTGGCACTGATGGCAATTGAAGAAAGCCAAACAGAAGAAGAAGTGATTGGAATGATGTCCATGAGTGATTCGGAAACTGAAGATGAAACAAAGCAAGTAAGTATCTCTAACTTAAACGAAAACATTTATGCTATGTCTAAAAAGTAACTGATGGCCATAATTGTAACCATGATGAGTGAAATGGATAAAATGAGTGCTGGAAATGATCAGTTAATAAGCAATCTTTCATGTGTCAAACTTGATATCAAAGAGCTTGAATCTGACAAAGCTAATCTAGAAGGACATGTCAAAGACCTTAAGAACCAGATTCTTGAGCTCACTTCTAAAAGTAAGAAGTCTCCTGATATACATGGTAAGGGAAAAATGAGTGATCTGTAGGATAAGCTTGAAAAGAAATTAAAAAGGGCTAAAGATAATCTTTGTGATGCTGAATGTAGGAATAAAGTCCTGCAAAAAAATCTAGAAAAGGCTAATTATGAACTATCTAGAGTAAGAAAATGACATAGATCTTCAGATGCCTTGAATTGGCTGAATGAAAACTGCAGCTCTAACAAAGCAAGAATTGGCTACAGAAAACCTGTTCCCAAGTTTGATTCAAAGTATGTAGGAATTTCTGATAATAAAATGTGCACTAATTGTGGAAAGGTAGGACACTTTAGAGATACTTGTCCTGCCTTAATTCATGCTCAGTTTAGAAATACCTTTGGTCTTGCTAAAAATGTGAAGAAGGAAGAGAAACCAAAAGCAAAGCCTTTTGTCCATACTAAGTGGATTAATGTTAATAAGAAAATAACTGCTAATCCTCTTCCCTTCTGGGCAAGAAGAGATCCGATTCATCCCTTTTGAAACAAAAAGGGACCCAAGCTTGTCTGGATTCCCAAGACTAACTTGTGGTTTTTGGTGCAGTCTAAAGTGAGAGGGAACAACCAAGACTGGTATCTAGACAGTGAATTCTCAAGACATATGACTGGAGAAAAGAAAAACTTTCTCTCAGTGACAGCCTTCCAAGGAGAGAGTGTGTCATTTGGAAATGGTAAAAGGGCCAGATAACATGTATTGACAAGGTTGGTAAGTCACTCTCTCATGCTATTGAAGATGTATATTATATGGTAGGCCTTAAACACAATTGTCTTAGCATCTCTCAAATGTGTGATAAAGGAAATGAAGTAAAATTCAATTCCAAAATCTGCACTGTTACTAAGCTTGATACTGATGAAGTTGTGTTAAAAGGTAAGGGACATAACAATGTTTACAAGATATTTATTATGTCTCTTCCTCAGAGTGAGCACACATGCTTAAATGTAATGGAAGATAACCCACTACTATGGCATAAAAGATTGGGTCATGCAGTCTTTCTCAACTCAACAAGTTGGCAGCAAAGGACTTGGTCCTTGATCTACCAAAAGTTGAGTTCTCCTCAGATAAGGTTTGTGATGCCTGTGTTAGAGGGAAACATGTAAGGTCAGCTCTTAAATCTAAAAAGGTTGTCAGCACCTCCAAACCTCTAGAACTCCTTCACATGGACCTATGTGGACCAATTAGAGTGAGGAGCAAATGAGGTAATAGGTATGTTTTTGTCATTGTAGATGAATTCTACAGGTGTACATGAACTCTATTTTTGGGATATAAAGATGAAACTTTTGATGTTTTTTGTGTATTTGTCAGAATGATTCAATAACTAGGTTGCAATGTATTAAGTATAAGAACAGACCATGGTACTGAGTTTGAAAATTCTAAATTCCTCAAGTTCTGTAACTCACATGGTATTGATCATAATTTCTCTGCACCTAGAACCCCACAACAAAATGGGTTGTAGAAAGAAAGAATAAATCCCTAGAAGACATGGGGAGGACCATGCTGATTACTAGTGGACTGCCTAAGAGTTTCTGGACTGAGGCAGTCAATACTACCCGTTACTTGCTGAACAGATGCATAGTCATACCTATTCTTGAGAAAATTCCATATGAGTTACTTCGAGGGAGAAAGCCCAACATCACTCACCTAAGAGCATTTGGGTGCAAATATTTTGTGTATAATAATGGCAAAAAAGCTTTAGGTAAGTTTGATGATAGAATTGATGAGGGAATTTTCTTGGGTTACTCTCCACATAGTAAGACCTATAAAATTTTTAATAAAAGAACTGTATGTAGAATAAAATATTTATGTTATTTTTGATGAATCTAACAATTTGGCTAAGAAAGGTCTACAGGATGAAGACTATGACATATGACTCACTGGTGATGGAGCTCCTAAGGAATCTGAACCTCAATCTGAAGATGGATCCGGAGATCACAAGGAAATTGACAGTGATCATGAGGAACGAGAAAAAAAGAGAACTACTGTGACTGCTAAATAGACTGATGAAGCTATACCTACTGAACATGTTCCTTTGGGTCAATCCTTGGGTGAATCATCTCTAGGTATGCAGATCAGGCTATGAAAACATCAAAGTTCACATCCTTTTGAGAACATCATCTTTGATCCAAATGCAGGAGTGCAAACCAGGTCATCTCTGAGAAATCTATGTGCACTCACAACATTTCTCTCACAGGTTGAACCTAAGACCATCAAGGAAGCTCTAAAGGATACAGATTAGATTATAGCCATGCAAGAAGTGCTAAATCAGTTTGAAAAAAGCAAGGTCTGGCACTTGGTGCAAAGACCCAAGAACAAAACTATCATAGATATCAGATGGGTGTTCAAAAACAATCTGGATGAACAAGGAAATATCACAAGGAATAAGGCCAGACTAGTGGTTCAAGGATACAATCAAGAGGAGGGCATTGACTATGATAAGACGTTTGCACCTATAGCTAGAATGGAAGCTATAAGAATGCTAATAGCCTTTGCTGCACACATGAAATTCACCTTGTATCAGATGGATGTAAAGAGTGCATTTTTGAATGGTTAATCTGAAAGAGGAAGTGTTTGTTAAATAACCTCCTGGGTTTGAAAGTGAAGAATTCCCTGACTATGTGTTCAAGTTAGACAAAGCCTTGTATGGACTGAAACATGCTCTTAAGAACTTGGTATGAAAGACTCTCAAAATTTCTCTTAACCAAAAACTTTGTAAGAGGAAAGGTGGACAACACTTTGTTTCTGAGGAGCAAAGGCAAGAATGTTCTGATTGTACAAGTATATGTGGATGAGATTATCTTTTAGGGCTACTAATTAAGAAATGTGCAAGGAATCTGCTGAGATGATGGGGAATGGGTTTGAAATGAGCATGATGGGTGAACTGGTGTCTTTCAAATCAATATCTCATGTCATAATCATAAAATATGGTTATCAGCCCCCTTTCATATTTTCACGGCACCTCGTGCCCATATCTCTATCATAACCGCACAGACGACTCTCGTGCCAAATATGTCAATACATAAAACCTGCACGATTTAATTCATTTTCAATAAAGTAAGGTTACAGTTTTTAAACCAAGTAAGAATTCAACAAAGAAATGAGTTTAGTTTAGAAATAGTTTGAGTGAGGAAAAATGATATTTTCAATTTAAATAAAATATCAAATAATCTACTGATTTGTAACTTCTTTTATTTAAAACAACTCAGTCATCAAAAATCGGTAAAAAAATTAGGAATATAACTCTTTAGAATCTCATACTAAAAAGCCAGAGCCAACACAATACATCAAGGAATACAAACACATATTAAAATCAAATAATACATCACAGAAGATCACAAGGATTTACCTATCACGGAAATACAAAATAACCAAAGACAAGTGCAACCATAGAGAAATGTCAACAAAAAGGCACTCCCGAGATACCATCCCGTAGTCCCAAAAGTAAATGTGCAAGAACAACAATGCCCCCAGGCCATCACAAGTCATCACAATTCAATTTCCGACATAGCCCGCCTTGTCTCGCCACGTGCGCAATAATAAAGTAAATGCCTGCCTTGTCTCGTCGCACGCGTATAATAATATTTCCACCTTGTCTCGCCACATGCGCAACCCTCCCCCCCCACATATATATATATATAGCCCGCCTTGTCATGCCGCATGTGCATAAATCAACAGTAACAATAGCACGACAGAAACCTCATGCAAATATCCGAACAAACCTCCCAACAATATCACGTGCCAATATTACAACATCTCATAAATTGCATCTCAAGTGCTCAAATATCACAACATATCACAAATTGCACATCAAGTGCTCAATATTACAACTTGCCATAGAAATCAACAATACATTATTTTCCACAATAAGGAACCCATGGCTCGACTATAATGTACACAAAAATCTTAACAAAATATCCGGGAGTGAACAACTCAATAAAATAATATTTCACGTAAAATCAAGGTGGCAATCACACCAAATCATCATATAAAAACAAATCCAACAAACAAGGATTTAGCCATGACAAATAGAGGATTTAATAAGTGCCAATAATTTTTAATTTAATACATAAGAACGTTTAAGGATTTTAACCAATGTAATTTGCACATATAAATCAAGTACATACTCGTCATTTCGCGTACATGATTTTCAATTACATAATTTGCACATAAGACTCAATGCCTAAGGGGTATTTCTCGCACTCAAGGTTAGAAAAAATACTTACCTCGAACAATGAAATTATTTACTCCGTTGTGCCTTTGTAACACGAATTAGCTCCCGAAAACCTTGTATCTAGTCACAATTAATTTGATTCAGTCCACACAATTATATGAATTAATTTCATATAAAAAAACTAATATTTTCCCACAAAAATCCGAAATTACACTCCAAAAATTGCCTGTGGGGCCCATGTCTTGGAATTCGATGAAACTCACAAATTCCGACAACCCATTCAATTACGAGTTCAACCATATTAATTTCACTCAAATCCGACTCCGAATTGGTATTCAAATCCCAAAAATTTGTTTTGTAAAATTTCTATAATTTTCCCCAAATTTTCATTTCAAAATACTGATTACATGATGAAAATAATGATATATTCATGTATGTTAACCAAATCTGAGTTAGAATCACTTACCCCGATGAATTTCTTAAAAATCCCACGAAAAATCGCCACAAACCGAGCTCCCAAAGTCTAAATATGAAGTAATAACCTAACCCTCAGCTATATAGTACCAAGTTTGCTCTCCCAATATGCGGTCCGCACATTTTCAAGTGATGCCGCACATTTCTAAGTTCTGCGGCCGCACAATTTTGAGTGCGGTCGCACTTCAGTGTGATAGCTTATCAGGCTTCAGTAAAATACCCATAACTTTCTGTACAAATGTCTAAATTATTAATGCTATACCTTTGTGGAAACTAGATTCAAAGAGCTACAACTTTTGTTTTTGAATCATCTCCAAGTTCATTGTAGATTAAAAGATATAAGCCTTCGGAATCGGACCATCGAACCTGCAGAACCCTTGATGTGCGACCGCAGACAAATTTGTGCGGTCCGCATTTTTCCTCTGCGGTCCGTACATTTTCATCTACTGCAGCACTTTTTTATCTGCTACAACACTCAAAAATGTGCCTCAGCACATGACATTGTGTGGTCCGCACTTCTAACGTTCCAGAACAACATCATAATGCCAAAATACCCGGACTCGCTCAAAACTCATCCCGAAACTCACCCGAAACTCACCCGAACTACTTGGGATCCTGTTCAAATATACCAACCAGTTCCATAACATAACACGGACCTACTCTAGGCCTCAAATCACATCAAACAATATCAAAATGATGAATCATACCTCAAATAAATATACATGGACTTTGAACTTTCAAATTCTATATCTTGTGCCGGAACACATTAAATCAATCCGGAATAACTTCAAATTTTGTACACAAGTCATAAATGACATAACGGAGCTATGAAAATTTTCAAAACTGGATTTTGACCCCGATATCAAAAAGTCAACTCCTCGGTCAAACTTTCCAAAAATTCAATTTTCGCCATTTCAAGCGAAATTCCACTACAGACTTCCAAATAATTTTTCGGACATGCTCCTAAGTCCAAAATCACCATACGGAGCTATTGGAATCATCAGAATTCAAATCCGAGGCCGTTTACACATAATTAAATCTCCGGTCA